TTGGAACAAAGTGAACAATGGAACAAATAACACTGCTGAAGACGTGTCACCTGAAAAAGCCACTGTCGAATAAGAAACTCTACCTGGTTCTGAGAAGGAAAACAATGAAGCCCTTGATGAAGTTACTACCACTGATGTGACTGTTACCGATAATAGGACATTTCCTGATGGAGCAAATGAATTCATGTTAAGCAGAAGCCAATGAGACAGAGACCAGTACGGAAGAAAATACGTCCCATAAAATTAAGAGACTTTGTTGAATTTTAATTTTGTGTTTGTAAATTCTGTACATTTAATTAAGTTATTGTTAATTATCTATTGGTTTAATGTAAGTGGCTATTGCTCGGGACGAACAATATTAAGGAAGGGGCAGTGTTACGACAGCGGAAGTCATGTGATGCTGGAAGCATGCGAGCTGGAGTTTCTAGAAGGATCATGTCTGTTCCTGGCAACTCTAGTTTTTCTAGGCACCCTCTATTTTAGTATATAAGCCCAGCAAGTAAAGCAGAGATATAATTGCAGATAGACAGATAATTGAGTCAAGTGAGCGGTAGTGACCGTAAGTAAAGTGCGTGAATTGTAGCGCGTGTTTAAGTTAAAGTGACTGTGGAAATTAAGTGTATTACAAAGTTTGTAATGAGAAAGAATAAACTAGTTTTAATCAAGAAGGGACTTGTATCACTAAAGTCACTCGGAAAGAATTTTAAAAGGAAATTAACAAACGAACAGATACGTAACAATAGTCTACTTTACAGCATGATATGTATAACTTTAAACATGCATAATTCATGACATTTAGGATATATACTTGTTTAATATCTGGAAGTAGTGAAGTTCTTTCTTCTCAATAAGCGTGCAAGTTGTTTATTAATCCCAATATTGTCTACTTTACAGCATGATATGTATAACATTAAACATACATAATTCATCACATTTAGGATATATACTTGTTTAATATCTGGAAGTAGTGAAGTTCTTTCTTCTCAGTAAGCATGCAAGTTGTTTGTTAATCCTAAAATAGTCTACTTTACAGCATGATATATAAAACATTAAACATACATAACTGATGACTTCTTTCATTAACATTTAGTATATACATATGACTACAATGTTCATATATACATAAGTTGATGCGTTATACCACTCACATTATGGCTGATAATATCATTAACAGTATGGGTAACTAACTGATGAAACAACATATTCTAATATTTATAAGTAAGGACAAAGGAATATAACAATTTCTTTCTCTGTCAGTATACTTTTGATCTAACTAGTTTTAAACAACAATATATATTATATACTGTTTAGGAGTGAATGATCCACTAGTTGAAGGTTGAAATGTGTAGAAATGCTTATTTCGACAGATGATGAGATTAGGCTACACTCACTTTATCTCATTTTATTTACAAAAATGTGGCTATGCAGTCTAGTCATTATGATTACAGAGGTATAAAATTGAATTTCTTTTCTGTAATGTATGTATCTGAATAATACTCAAATCATGTATCAACTGCTGCTCTGACTTTCCTGTTTGTTTTTCTGCTTCTGTCACAGGCTTTTTTGTCAGTCAGGTCTATTGGTTTATGGTCTTGTATGCCAAATTGGTTGTTCCTCACTGGTTTAGGTTTCTCTTTCTTTGGATCCCCACACTTTACTTCAGAGCTTCAAATGAAGTGTTTGTGATAGAAATTTCCAGGTGATTATTTCAGTCTACAAGTTATGGATTTGAGCCATCTTAACCATTTAGGCATTTTACCTATTTTCTTCTGGATCTTCCTCTATGAGGTAGATACACTGACTTTGAGTAGGGTAGAAGATTTTTTGGTACCCATCTTCCCTATGATTTGGTAAGTTTTCTTTCTTTACCCCCAGATAAATCTTGAAAATATGCATTTCTCTGGATTTACTGCAAGAGTCTGGAAAGTGTGAATTGTGTATTTTCCTCTTTCTTGAGATTCCATGCTTAGATAGATGTTTTACTTCTAGATTAAGCTGTGTAATGTTGTCCCCATCCAGTTATGGATTTCAGTATTGATAGATTCTAACAGGATAATGCCATAAAGATTCTACTAATCATTTTGTTCTAACTAATTTGAACAACAGTATTCTTCTTGGTTCTTTATTTCATCCCACTTTGTTATTGATGCCCTTTTCTGCAAGTTTTCCTTTTTCACTTTTCAATTCCATATTTGCAACTCCACCCCCCACCCTACTTATTTACAAGAGTTGAAGGTTGCTTGCTTTTCAAATCCCTGTAATAACATAGATTTGTTTAAGGTAGATAGAGACATTCAGTGTTCCATTAATATTGGATCACTTTATCAGAAACCTGGTATTGGATAAGTATATTATATCTTGCCTTTAGGAAGCCTTCTATTTCTACTTCATGCCCATTTCACCTTTGGGTTTCAGACTGAGAAGGGACTTTTGTTTCTCATGCATCTGTGACCTTGTTTTGTACAAGACATTGAGTGAATGTTGTGGTCTGTCCTATTCTTTAATTCTCTCCTTTTCAGTTTTCTTTATCTCTTCTACATGATCCTATGGATGTCTTAAATATTCCTCTACATAAGTTTTCAAAAGGTATGGGAATAATTTTGAGATTGAATTTTTTCTAGTCCACTTTACTACTTCGATTCATACACAAGGCATTGATTTCTAGTTTGATTGGAATGTCTGGCATGTATTGGTACTTTCCAGAGTAGTTTCTTCAGTTTACAAGAATAAGGTTTCAGGATTTAAAACTGGAGTTGGTTTTTAAAACCTCACCTTATTTTGATCCTATTCTTTTACACCTACTAGGTTTGTGAACACCCATCTTGGTCAGTCGCAAACTATTCCTGAAAGTTAAGCCTCTTTATAATTATAGACCACTCAGGATCTTCCATTTCTTAGTTCTCAGCACAAAGTATCTGGGAAAATTAGATTATTTCTAGGATCTGGTGTTTTTGGCAAGGCCCATTTCTATGAATGGAAGATGTGTAGAAACAATTTGTCTGCTTGATTTCTTTTTCCAAGATGCTAAATTCTCTTTAATTTAATATTTTGAATGTACCTCAATGATGGGGCTTCTATGTTTTCAAAGTTGTATCCACCATTATCAAAAAGGTGGTTTTTAACACTCATTGTCTAGGAAGTGTCTTGGTTGGTGTCAAGATCTCCAAACAATACACAAGTCTGGAAGTCCTTTATTCCATGAACATAATTTTGATGGGGTTAGTTATTTCCTTTCATCCCAACTAATAGTTTGAGCAACTTCTTCTAAGAGTGTATGTGACAGTATTGAAGGTGACTTGTAAAGATTTTTTAATCTTATTCCAATAGATTTTATAAAGTACTTTAGTATTGGAGCTATGGCTCTTAATATAGATTCAGCTTACTCATATATACTTATGTAAGAATTTTATCTTTGTGTCATCAGTATTTACGTGTGATCTTTATACCATGGTTGTTTCAAATACAGAGGCACCTTTTCTATTTTTTTAAAAATAGTTTACAAACAACACTGTTCCTTCCAATTGTGCAATCCACATATACTATATTAGAAATGCTTAGGTCTGTGGTATGTCTTGGAACCTGTCTTGTTCTTTTATATGTTGGTATGGCATTCTCCAATTGGTCTTCATGTTTATGGTTTCTCTGTCCTGTTCTTTGTGATTACGTTTAGACTCTTGGACAGTTATTCAGTCTTTCAGCCTGAGAAAAATGCTAACTACCTGTTCACTCCCTGATCTCACCTCTATAAATATGAACATATTTTTGTGATTTCAACATACATATCTAAAGAAAATAACTTTCTGATTATAATTACAAAAAGATACCTTTATGCATTCACTCCTAACTTACAGTATTTCAAATGCAATGATGATAACTGTAGGCAAACCACATTCCAAATATAAACAAGCACCTGACTTACAGTACTAGATATAGGAGTGGTTTTGTTCACAGGAGTTAATGAAGTGGAGTCTAATACAACAGCTAAAATATCAGAAAAAGTTCTTTCAAGATGGTTTCAAATGATTTGTTTTTCAAAGAAAAGTACAATAAGCTGATGGAAATAATGTACATGAGACATGAAAAATGCATTGACTTCAGAGACTTGCAGCCGAACTCGTACATATTATCCAAAAATATACTGTAGCACGAGTGTGTACCTTTTATTGATGGAACCTCTATTATTATTTTTTTTTACAAAGAAATATACATTTAAGGTTTGAAAATGCCCAACATAAACCATATGTCCCTTAGTTTTAAAAAGTACTTCAATACTGTGTATATGCTAACATGTTAAAACAGCATCTCGAAAAAAGTTAATTTGTCCTTTTCTGTTAATTAAAGATTTTTCTATCACTAGTAGTAATACTCTTGGAAGAAAACATGAAATATTTCACTAAGAACTGTTGACTTGTTTCTACTGTTCATAAAAAAAAATGTAAGGAATTTTCTCTTCAATTTACATGGGCTTTATCTGTTTCTGCTACACTTGAATAGATTGTTTTAAAACATGTCTGTGCCATATACTTTTGGTTTTTTACAGCAAAAACAATTACAAAAATGTATAATGAAGTTTCACATTTAAACTTTTCAGGTGATTGCTTTTATTAAATGTTTTTACAATATCAAGATAAAAACCAGAATTATGTTTGTTTCTTGAATAAAAAATATATACCAGTTTACTGCAGACACAGTAGTGTAAGATTCTTTAACATCTGACCAATATAACATTTAATAAATTATTCTATTACATTATGTAACCCATGAGAACCTTGTCAGTTTCAGGGGAATGTCATACCTTTTTGAGAATTTGGAGAATAAAAGTGTGTAGTGAATCAAAAGCAGTTAACTATTTTTAGCCAAGTCACATAATTCATTTTAAATTTCAGTTTCTTTTCCTTAGTTATTTGAATAGGTCATGTTACAGACAAAGTACTATTTGAAGATGAAGAAAACAAATTTATTACATATTGAATTAGGTCACGAAACACAAACAAAGCTAGTAAACTTGAAACCTTCCAACTACAACCTATTTTATTAAAAATTGTGTGACCTTTTACAATTTAATTTTAGACATGAATAGTAATATCTTAGCTCTTAATTCACTAATCATCCAAAAAAATAAGTTTCTTCTCTGTTTCCAGTTTACATACTGTTATTCCAAACAGAACTTTTGAAAAATTTTTTTACCAAGTTTTGTATTCACAGACACATTTAAGGTTTTTCAAATAATTTAATAGGTTTTAACAATTACATTTACTTTTCATTTCTCAACTGAAATTCTTTAATACATAATATATATATAAAAAAAAACAAAAAAAAACGACTTTTTCAAGACTGCACTAACATATTACATATGCACTCACAGTTTATAATCACATTTTCAGCAAAGGCAACTTCATCAACAATTAGTTTCATTTAGGTTAACAATAAAAAAAAAGTATATTAAGTATTAAAATGCACAAGCTTACACTATACAGGTTTTTTTTTTACTAATAAATATGTCTTAGCATTTTCCACTTATCAATTGCTTTGAAATTAGAAGACATAACAATGTACTATATAATGAACTTATTGAACCACATCTTACCTCAATGAAACGACTGGATACATCAAGTTAAAATATGTGTGCAAAAGGTCATACATCTTTTTCTTTTAACTCCACTATTGTTTTTCTATTTTTGGCTATTTGAATTAGCACCAAATAGAAATGTACATAAACTTCTACCATATTCTTATTCATTAGAAATAGAAACAATATGACTTTTAGGGAATCATAAATTTGAAACTCTATAGCAGAGAGCTAATATGACTAGAATAATGTAGATTCACTGTTTGTTTTATCTATGCTGCTTGGTTGACCTTTGAATATGCACTAACAACATAAATAAATAACATTAGCTATTAAAAGGTTTCATACTTATTGTGTATTGTTCTAGATAACCATCCATAATTTTCACACCTTAGGATGCAGATAATTCATTTGCCACACACAATTCTCATATAACACCTTCTATTAAGTTTAAGTAAGTTGTAGTTGTGCCACATTTTCACTTCATGGCATGCACAGCAAGCACACAGTTATATACAAGTTTCACACTCCTGTAGTTCAATCTTGAATAATGGCATACAAATACCATGAAAAGTAGAGAGAACAAAATAGAAATAAATATGAAAGAGTAGAACAGAAAATAAGACCTGTAGAGCTCAACTGAAAATAAAATTTCCTTCTATTAAAATCACATTTTCTTATATAAAATTTTAAAAAAAGCATGTTATGTTAATGAATCACAACCCTGATAACTCCCTCTGGAAATCAACAATGTATTGTAATTTAAGAAAGAATAAACATACCATAGTACAAACACCATAGGTTAATATTCTAATTCTCTCAAACTCAGCAGTTATGTTACACTGGTCTTTGTGAATGAGTGTTTTTGTTACTGGTTAAAATATTTTTTTAGAATTAATCAAGAGAAGTTTGATTCATTATGCACATGTCAATAACTCATTTACAAAGATATATGTTTTTTGGTTCAGAAATATCTTGAAGCTAGCTTTAATCTCTCCAGGTCATTATTCTAATCATGTGGACAGTACTGATGTCACAGAGAATAACCTACTAAACAGGAGGATAACGTCAAAGAAATTAAACTACAATTACAAAACGACATGCAAGTGCATGATGTCCTAGATACAAAGAGGTAACACAAATAAACTAAATAATCCAGAAAGCATGTAGATTATCTAAATAATAACCAGGGATGACAAATAAGTGCATAATCCACACAAGATCAAAATGGATAGTCTATACAGAAAACAATGAGAGACAGATAATCTATGTAACATGGGAATTAATTACATCATAGTGGATAATCTACAAATCCTAGAGATAACAACTAAAGGAATATTCTATGTAGTACACAGGAACAACTTTAAATTAGATGACCCTTGAAATACTTTACTGAGTATTTGTTAGGATACAAACAAAAGCTCATGCTATGTAAACTATAGAATCAATAATGATCTCTTACTAGTTATTCTACAAAACCACCAAAATAGTTTCACACTGGATAACTTACAGAATCCACAAATATGATATCATACTTGATAACCTTTAGAATCCACTAAGATGTTTTCACAGAGGATAATCTCTAGAACAACAAAAATGGATTCACTTTTCACCCTGGATAACCTCCAAAACTATCCGAGATTATTTTCCACTGAGTATTCTATAAAATATAGAATTGCACAATGGATAATCTACAGAACTCCCACTGAGAGTTTCTGGAAAAATAATATACAGACATACAACAAACTAAACATTACAGTGGACAACCTACAGCACTTAGGTTGGTGACTTTACAGTGGATTAAATGCTGACCTCAAAAGATCATATTACATTGGGAAAACCTCAAAACATGCAACTTTATAACATTTAAACAACAAAACACATTCAGTTGAGATAGTCTTCTGGTAAAATGACCAAAATACTAACAGCTACCAGCTGAATTTTCTTCCCATGAGTAAACTAAAAAAACTTTAAGCAGTACCCTGGAATTTGATCTAATATTTAATTAAACATTGCAACATTGATTATAACTATTTTGACAGATCTCATCTAATGAATACTGAATGAAAAATACAAACAGCAAAGAAACAAATCACTCAGCATCATATTGTTCCAATAACCAATATCACAAAAAAGCACCTGGTGTGTAACAGTTAGAAACAAAAACAATATAATTTTATGCCTTTTGGCAAAATCAACAAATTGCCACTTACATGCTAGAAATTCAAAGCAAGATTATTCTTATAATTATATGCAGTTTATGACTAACAAAGTTTCAGAGTGAGAGAACACCTTTTTCAAACATTCCACTATTTGTGTAAGTAAGCAGAAGTACAACAGTTTATTAATTTACTTTTATCATTCCAGTAATGTAGAGTGTGACTAAAGTTTCAGCTCCACGGAATTAATCAATAAAGGATGTTGTTTTATGTAAATTTGTAATTTCTGAGGCAGCCATTATCCAGGGAAAAGATAATCCTATTCATACAGAAAAGGATGGAACTGACATCATGCAGGAGGGGAAGGAGTGGAATTGTTACAGAGCACCAGAACTAATAAATGTTATGGTTGTGTATATAGGACTAGATTTTTGGTACACTCTGTTCTTAGGTGTGATGGCCATCACTGTGTCAAAAGAAAAGTAACTGCCACACTGTTTGTAAATTTCTCTCAGATAACTACTATCCTTGTACAGGTTAAGGAAGAAGATGATTTCTTTTCCCACACACGTAAGTACACAATCAAAAGTACAGATACAATCATAATGCAAGTATACTATTGGGATAGTATCTTCTCATTCACATAAATGCATTTTCTCAGACAACAGATATCCACATATCATAATGCAGGTACATCATTCTTAACTTTATGTACAGCTGTACACATATGTCTGTAATATAATAGCATTAGTGCTACCACAATAGTGGTGATATATGGATAATAAGTACAACATCAGTCTTTTCTTTAGTTTAATACATATATTGTGACATACACTACACAATGAAGAGGAGATGAGAAAAAACAAGACTCTCGACCTAGGTTTGAAGCCTAACATGACTGGTGTTAAATTACACAAGCTAATTGGTATTAAAACCCAAGAGTAACCACTTCCAAGATCAGGCTATTAAAACAAAAAGAAGTTAGCATTCTTAATACAATAAGCAACATTATATGTAGTATAACCTAGCAGAAAAAAACAACTCTTTGTGTAACCTGATAGCTTGGACAAATAACTATACACTTTATACAATTTGTAGCACTTACTAGAAACATTTAATATTGCATTGTACATAGCTGCCATAAAATCACACCTGTTTTCTTAGACACTGAGAAGTACCTAGCAAAGAATGAAAAATAAATACTTAATAAAAATCTAACTAAAAACTGCAGAAATAAAATGTTTCTATTTAAGCCAACACAGGGATTACAATAGATATATACACGTTTTACATTACCCAACTTAATATTGGTTTAATTGCTGCATCAAATTTGTTGAAAAATGTCAAATTTCTTTCTGCCCAGAATGTTTGTAAAACCTTCTAAACAAATTTATTTTTTCTATTTACTTAAATGCTTTACAACATTTCAACAGTTTATTATTGGTGCAGTATAAAACAATACACACTATAATTTATATTATATTATACTTTACAATACTGAGTAATTCGTATTACAACATATAAACTGCAGCAGCAACAACAAAGATTTTACCACTAACACTAAATCTTGCACCTGCATAAAAAAAATTGTTAACAAAATGACTAGATTTGATCTTGAAAGAAAGCTGTTTTTATATGTAGAACTTGTAAAAATGTAGATTTCAAGTCTTCTCTGCCTATCAACTCTACTAAAATAAATTAGGAGATATTGCTATTAAAAACAATATCATTGACTCTTAATTTAACCCTTGAGTAACATGAATCAATTATACAAGATTCTTATCTGTGGACCAGTATGTTTCCATTTTCATTTCTGTGCTGAAGCTCATAGTTCAGATCATTCTGGTGAACTACTGCGGGAAGCTTCACTTCCTGAAACAGCAAATTCTTCAGTAGAAACTGTGTAGTATCTGCATTTCCTGTGGAAATAAATAAGTAACATTACATCCCTTTGTTATATACACATGAAACTGCAAACTTTCATGCAAATGTTAAGGTTAATAATAAAAGGCCACATGATTGCGTTATTCACACAATCATCAATATTAATATGTAGTTTTAAAACGGTTCTGAGTTACAGGTAAGGAAGTACTTACAGTATTAAATAAATACATTTAACTCTTTTAAACCCATACTTTTCTGCACATTCTGCAAGAATTATTTTTATGATGTCCTAATAATTATCACTATACCTTACAAAGTTTCTGGTCTATTTATAAATGGTTGATAATAACATGGTTTGGATTAGCTTTCAGCCAAAGAGACATAAATGTTATCAGATGCTATCACCATCTGATGGATAAAATGGGATTTTAAGACAGGTGCTGGTAGCATCAACTCAGGTATAAAGAGTTAATTTCAAATCAGTTTTGAGGTGCACTTACACAACAGTATTCTATTTTAATAGGTTTAAAAATATAAACCAGCTTTCAAATTTACATAAACAAACTAATATAAATGTGAGCTATTGTACACATAATTAAAGTACTTTAATTAAAATATAATTACAAAAAAAAGGTTGCTATCAATAAGCAATTTGCTACAAGTTCTGTTTTGTAGCTAGACCATCTACATAAAACACTTTACGTAAATCTTAGACTAGGTAACAAATGTTTCACTAAATCAAAATATTAAAAAAAAAGTAATAATAATGACTACCTGTCTTTGCATTTGTAATTTATCTGAGCCATTGAATTCTTTGTTGAATTCATGAAAGTAACTTCATGTAATATATACACATCAATTACATTATGAGTAGAGCTGGGCAATTGATTCAATTATCTATGAACATCAATTATATCATCTAGTTTCATGTAAGATAACTGATTAATCAAAATTACAACTAACTTCATTAATAGTACAAAAATAATTAACTAGTGTTTTGAATTATTATTGTTTTTGATTATTCCAACTATCCAATAATCAAGCTAATTAGATTGTTAATGTCAAGAAAATAATAAACTAGTGTTTGCAATTTTTACCATTTTCATTTATTTCAATTATCCAACAACTGAAATTAACATTAAATCAATTAATTTAACAAAAATAATCAACTTCTCAAAACTGGTGTCTCAGATGATCTGTTTTTCATCATTCCAATTATCCAAATATTGTCATTATGATTATTTTTTCAATTAATTTATTGACACTTAATTGATTAGTATTAAGACTTAAAGAATAACCAACTAATTAAAATTCGGTTTCTGATTATTATTTTTGATTATTTCAATTATCCAAGTAATCAAAATATTGCCATTATGCTTGTTTGTCAAGTACAAACTTACAAAATGGGTTATCTGTGCTCTGCTTACCAAGGGTATCAAAACCTGATTTTTACCATTATAAGTTCTTTTTTTTTAATGTTATTGATTCCAAGTTTGTTCAGTTTTGGACTAGCATAGTCTGGTGATTAGGAATGTTGTCTCATGATTAGAGGTTCTCGAGTTCTGTTCTTTTTGCCACAAAACTTGCTCACCCTTTCAGTCATGAGGTCATTACATTTGTTTCTGAGTTTTGGCAATACTACTAAGGCTATCTACCACTGTCCATCATTTTGAACTGCCAAATAGATAGAAAGCAACTGGTTGGCAGCACACACTGCCAACTCTAGGGTTACTTTATGTTAAGTAGAGAATACGTTTACTTTTCTACATTGTGTTATGTTCCTAATTTATAATTGTGTTACTGTATTTTTTAACATTTAATAAGGTGTAAAATATGTTTTACATTCTGTAAGTGTTATGTTTGTAACAATACACCTCTTACTTTCCTGAATTTATGTTCTGGAGGAAGTTGTAATAGACACAGCACATCTGGAACAAGCAAATTTCTAATTATGCAAAGCAGTATTCTTCATCCACTTAGTCATGCCAGTCTTTTAATCATGTGATAAATAAAAAAAATGTAAATGTACCAATCAACTTTCAATAAACAACAAGTTTAATAAATTGTTACTTAACAATTTTAATGCTGTACCAGTCCTTTAATAAGGCAGTAAAACACAAACACGACACATAAAGTAGCTTTTACAATGTAGTTTATAATAATATTACAAAACATATCTGTGACTGATTATGTATAAATAGGTTGTGATTGCAATACAGCATCCATGAGGCCTAGAGAAAATTGTTTTTGCAGTAACTCCACTGACCCTGGAGAAAAGGCTCCGACCCTATATGCCTTACACTTTTTCTTTCAAATATGTCCAGAGAAGACAACTAGATGTATATACTTTTATCAATGACATTTTCACCCCTTATTTGTATGAACAAGTTTTGTAACGAACCTGTACACAAGACACAACTGTGAGTGAAACTACCTTGAAATTATATAAAGCAAAAAAGTCCTCATCGTAAGGATAGTAATAACTTGATATTAAAATATAGCTCTGTTTTTATTTTATCATTATTATGCTAAGTTTTCTAACAAACCTTAGTGGATGATTTATTTTATGTTGCTACTAAGTAGTTCTGTAAAAATTTCAACTTTTTTGTTTTCCTAAAACACAGAATTTGACATTGTTTTTATAGAATGATTGTGTCCTTAAAAAATAGTAATAATCCATCAGCATAATAATGTACAAATAATTAGAGAATATTATTTTGTTAATTCATTTATGTCTTATTATACTGATGTTTTATTACTGTTTTTTATGAATTTGCTCAAAATACTTCTTTAAATATTCTTGTTTTGATTTTGTTTTTTCAGGTGACAGTTTCTCGAAGTATCCATCTCTAGCAACACTATTCAGTTGTTTAATGTAATTTGAAACAAGTATAGCTTACAAACTATTAAAGTGTATTAACACTTAGTTCACTTTATACCACTGCTAAATAATACAAGCCTGTAAATTTGAATTTCATAAAAATTGTTTCGGCTTTAATAACAGATTTTCAATAATTCACCTACGCAGATTTCGAAAATAATACTAATTTTTTTTTTTTTATCACAAAGATTTTTTACAAATCAGGAAGAAAAACTCTTATTTAGATCAAATTATTATTCTGTTTACCACAATGTACATTTTTTATTATTATGTTTGTTAACAAAAATACAAACAAACTATAGAAAAGGCAAGAACATTGATGTCATACAAATATGCATTCTCATACATCCTGATTCTATTTGTGATATCTGTCTTTTTGTCTGAAAACTACGTGTTGTGGTCTTACTTTTATGTATTGCGTTATGACATTTGTGAAAGATCTGTATGTGATAAAGAAAAATGGATATCATTTTTGGATTCAGCTTTGAGAAATTACTGTAGAACATGTAAAAAATTTCAAGACAATAAAACCATCACAGGCCTGTGTAATTAGCTTACTCATTCAGAAAAATAGCTTAAGGTGCACAATGATTGGTGAGGGAAATGTTTTGTTCATTTCAGAATTCTTGCAAATAGCCAAATACTTTGTTTGTGTGCATAATTATCAATCTACTCCATGGAAGAGTTCAACTGTGGCATTTTTAAAACAAAACTTTTAAACCATACACATTGTTGTGCAACTCCTGCAATACCCAGAAATAAAATGCTTACATAAAGTTTGAAAAATTGGTAGTTATTTTATCTTAGGATAATATTAGCTTATTAAAATTTGTCATTTTTTGAAAAATGGAGCTATATTTTATCTTGCAAATAATATTAATGTATAAAAATATATAACTATACATTGTATACACAATTCAAAAGTAGTTTTTTCACTACAACTTGAGAGTTTAGAAGTTAAAAACACCTACATACTACTGTGAAATGGAAAAATAAACACAAGTTTTACATATTATTAATTTAGTTTAGTTAATTAAAAAATTGTTTATTTACTTGCATTTTGGTGGTTTGTTTTAAAATGCATAATTGACACACATAATGTGTGATGTATGTTAATGAATGATAATTTTATAAAAATGGTTAAATGTTATTAAGACGATTTGGCTTGGTATCTATAAATCAACTATAAATGCTATTTTCCTAGAGTATTTTAAATGAAAGTTTGGGTAACTGCGTATTAGAAACAAGGACTTCAGCCTATAATCCATAAGACTTATGGGAAGTAGATATGCTATAAGAAGAAGAGGGATAATGCACAATTGCTAAAAGAATAGATATGAAACTGAAAGTAACCCAATTCTTAATCTGATAAGATGCATTAAAAACTATTTTGATAATGGTGTACAGTGGAGCACAATAATGCTTAATAAAAAATCTTACCTACATATCCTAACTTTTCTTGGCAATGTTACCATAAACAAAGAATTATTATTTCTTGGCCTAATGTGCAATGACGAAAGAAACAACAACATGCAATAAGGATAAAGATCTGTAGGATTAGCATTCAAAATAATAAAGTGTTGGCTTACTTCACACTAAAATATTATTGTATACAAAATAATAAGATGATGATTTTACACCTATGGTAATCTCTTTGTTAATAAAATGAAAGAGATAAATTTGGAGTCTACAGATAAACTAGCCTTATTTGACATTTCTTTGTTCATAAAGGTTTTGGTTGAATAGCTGTTTTGAGAATAGATTACTAGCTGAGGAAAAATTTCCTTCTTTAGAAATTAGATTATTAAGCTGACAGACAAGTATGTGTTGAACACATATTTTAGGGTTTGGGATAAGTTATGGAGATACATTAAAGGTTTAGCTATGGTGTCTACTTTGTTCTCTCTCCCTTTTATGCAAATTATGTTTCAATTTCAAATAGGCACCTTAAATTCTCCTGTTTTTAAACTTTTGATGTTGTAAAGATATGTGGATGACATGTTTTTGGTGCAGTGTAATGGCAATGAAGCATTAAAGAAGTTTGAAGGACATTTTAATTTGGTTTACACTGGAGATTAATTTAATTGAAATAGAAGGTTTATTAAATTTTGTGAATATGGTAGCTAAATGGGATAATGGTTTTTCTCTCAATGT